TCCCACACTCTTGCAATATTCTGAACAATATTTGTAAACGCTCTAAAAGAGCACAGAATGTCATGATTTCAACTCTGCCTCAGCTGCTCTCTGCCAGTGCTCTTGGCCACGCCCACTTCTCCACCTGTGCAGCAGGTGCTAAATAATTTAAAATAATTTATTTTAAATGAAAATTCCATGCCGATTTTGCAGCTCATCCATCAATCAGCCAATTGTGTATCATGTCCAATCTTATTTTGAAAAACCACGATAGAGTGAGTCTGCGCAAAATGAACCATAAAGTAGCGATGGACTTCTGTATTGTATTCTTGTTTAAATATTGAAACAGAAGGATTATTTAGCTTTTAAACAATTTAGATCAGAACAACACTTTATGAAAGGATAAAGTTTGAAAACACCCAAAGTCAAATTTTATTTAGTTTTTTTGATTCAGCCTTTGTGTAACCTCATGTACTCTGTTTAGATAAACAAGATGAAACCTGTTGTACTTTTAGTTCAAGTACGTCAAGTACATTTATGCTCCGTTGACAAATGGGCTTCTTCTTTCCCAGCAACACACGGAAAAGAGCAATAAAAAACAACCTTTGTCCTCCTGACATTGATTACACAAAGAACAAGATAATGAGCCTCAGATCCAGACAGCATTGCTGTAACTATCCACGTAATAATGGCTTTTATTAAAAAAGAAGATTATGCAATATATTCTGATTTGTATAAGTGAAAATGTTCCTATTGTATCACCAGTGGGCTAAATAGACTGTTGCAGCAGAAATGATGGTTCTAATGGTTTATAAGTTCGTACAAAGTATAAACAGAAAATCTGAAATCATTATTGTACAATTATAACATTTTTAAATGTTACAGTAAATCCATCCATCCATTATCTGACGCTTGTTCTGGAGTTGGGTCATGAGGGCAGCAGCCTGAACAGGGTGGCCGAAACATTTCTTTCCACAGCCATCTCTTCCAGCTCTTCTGGATAGACTCCAAGGCATTCCCAGGCCAACCGAGAGTCTTTTTAGCATGTCCTGGATCTTCCATTGAATCGCTTCCTTGTCTAACATGCCCAGAAATCCTCCATAGGAAGGCAACCAGGGGACATCCTTAAGCCTCCCACAGACTCGGGCAGACTGTGAGCCATGCGGAAACTGCGCGCACTGTCCGCAGACAGTTGAGATTTCATACTCGAGCGTCCACCCTGACCGGCTGCAGCCCAGCTCCGCATACAAGGGGCATTTACTTTCGGGACAAATTGAGTTTGCTGATTGGTCATTTGCTGACATGCCTACTGGATTGATTGACAGGTCACAAAAAAACAAAAAAGAGAGAGCTGACAGGAAGCGGCAGCGCTGTTCTGTGTTTATATGTTGTTAATAAAAAAATATAAAATATTAAAAAAAAAAAACAGGGAGCGCTGGCCCTGCAGCTGGCTCACCTGGAATACTTCAGACCCTCCCGCAGCCACGCTGGACCTGATTTTAATTTGCTCATGACAAATTCCTTCATTTCTCATAATTTCAGTCATGGCGTTAATGGACGAGGAGGAAGAAATCACTTGCCTCTGTGCAAAAAAATAAAATAAAAGGCCATTAAACCACACCAGGGATGAAGAAGGGGAATTTAATACATTGGTGTCACATCCAAAACAGTCCTTCGCCGGGCAGTTTATTGTGCGACACCGAGTACACGTACACAGTTGTAAAAATTGATCTTTGCACGTACATGCCCTGCGGGTGTCTGCTTCGACTCTAATCCAGTACGTGTGGACCTCTGGGGACTGGAGGACGCTTGAGTCTAATCTGGTACACGCGGACCTCTGCAAACTGAAGGACGCTCGAGTCTGTGGGAGCCTTTAGAGAGTACTCTACTGCCCTTCAGTGTGAAGGGAACTTTTTTGAGGAGACCCAGTGGAAAAGCCAAGACTTTTTGACCCACTACAGGCAGAAAAAGGCATGCTAGTATTAGTCACCAGTTTCAGTTTTTACTGTTTAATGTAATGAACCCCCACCCCTTAAAAAGGGGCTGGACCAAAATCACCACAACAAATAAGCAAGTTAAACCAAATTTATTGTGAGGACCCGCTTTAGTGGAATTGGGTCGAAACTGGTTCTGGTGTCGAATTCTGGGCATCTGGGCTGGAATTAGTCATCTCATTGGTTGAAGGGGGGTCCAGAGACTGATGTCGTTCCAGCAGGACTGAGCAGCTGCAGGAGAGGCTGGTTCTGGTGAGGGAAGGCAGCCGGCTGCAGCGGTGAGCCAGTGTTTGGAGTCCGTGAAACAAAGAGGCTTGTCCAACAGGCGGGAGTCCGAAACCAGGCAGCAGATGACCAACGGTACCAATCCGTCAGGAGCAGAGGGAAGTCCAGCAGGCAAGAGTCCGAAACCGGGAAGCAGATGGGTGACAGGACCAACAGGTAAGGCGAGAGG